GCACTGGAGGGAGGCTGGTTGCCGATGGTGGGAGACACGGCTCCTTTTAGGGGGTGAGAAAGTAGGCGGTGGCTGGAGTGAAAAGGAGAGTAGCTGGAGCCAAAGGTCTGGGAGCCTCTTTCCCTGCCCACCCACACCTTTCTCCTCACAGGGAAGGTCCCCTGGGCAGACCAGCACCCCTTACTCCAGCAGCAGCGCAAGGAGGAGCTGAAGGTCAGGCGGGAGATATACCGGTGAGAGGGAGCAGGGTGAGAGGGAGCAGGCTGAGAGGGAGCAAGGTGAGAGGGAGTAGCGGTTGCCCAAAGGATGAGGGGCTTCCTTGGAGCTGTTCCTGATAATGGTGAAGTCCCAACCTCATCTCTTTAATCACAGCATCAGTACCACCCAGGAACTTGTTAGAAATGCAAAATCTCAGCCCTCACAGACTTATCGAATTAGTTATTGGGAAGTTAGCAGCATTGTTTAACAAGTTTCCAAAAGACTCTGGTGTCCACTAAAGATTAAAAACCACTGCTCTAAAATACCTCTTCCTTACTTTGCCCTAATGTCAGCTCCTGGAAGTATGAGCAGAACCAGAAATATACCACTCTAAACCCCAAGAAATTCACCCTCCGCTGTGTGTGTGTTTATGAGGGGTCTTTTCTCTGGAGTCAGCTTTGGTGGAGATCAGCAGGAAGGGGGCGGGGCTCGAGACCACCTTGGCAGCAGGTAGAGGTTGCAGAGAGCTGGGGTCACTGGAAAAGATTCCTTGAGGCAGGAAACCAAAGTCCACATTGGTGATTCTACTTGCTCATGAGATTCCTCCTCCAGGAAACCATTGCAACAGATCTGCCAGTAACTGTCTCAGGTGAGGGAATGGATAGACATAGAGGTCCACTGTATCCATGGGTGGCCTTCCTTTCCCTCCTGTTCTTCCAAAGTAAGGACGTAGGAGTAGGAGACCAGGACCAGTCTCTGTCCTGCCATTGGAGCTGTGAAATCGTAGGCAAGCCATTTCACCTTTTGATCCTTATTTTCCTCTGCAATAGAAATGAAGAATACCAGTCGTATTTAAGTGTTTAAGAATGCTACTGTTCAACTGTCAAACTCTGCACGAAGCGTACCTTTATTGCTTATACTGCCTCCCTGTTCCCTCTGCTGAGGCTCAGGTCCACAGCGTCAGTATCGCCTAGGAGATTGTTAGCTGCGCAGACCCTTGGTGGGCCCACCCACTCAGGACCTAGTCAGTCACAATCTGTATTTTACCAAGATCCTTAGGTGGATCTTTTGTACATAAGTGTTTGGCCACCACCTGGTGGCAGTGTACTTAAATTACAAGCTTGTCTTTGACATTGATAGTTTGAACCTGAATCATAGCTTGAATAAATGAAGGAAGGAGAGGTCTGACTAGAGTTCCTCAGCTTTTCAGGAACGTGATTTTACTAATCATCCAAAGGTCAGGCTGTGTTAATTGCTTGAAAATGGAATTTAGAGATGCCTTTGGTCGAGGCTGAGTAAATTGCTCCCCCAAGCTCTGGAGGCTGAAGTACCTCTCCACAGGATGCTTGTCAGAGGCCATTTATATAGCATTTATGGAGCCTTTATATACTCCCTGCTTCAGAACGACTTTTGGGAAGTTGGTAGTTCAAGAACAAAAGCCAACTCTAACTAGCAGACAGGAAAAAAAGGAAGGTGTCAGCAGAACACAGAGGTACTTACTGAAGTGAGGACCCAAAGTATTGCCAGATTTCACAGGCCAGAAACAAGGACACTCTCCCTGTCTCTGGGACCCTTGATGCTTCTCTCTTCTACTTTATTCCTCTCTCTCCCTCCCTCCCTTCCTTCCCTCCACCCTTTTCCCTCACCTAGTTCTCTCTCTCCAAAAGAGTTTTTTGATTCCCAGTCTACGCAGGGACAAATGGCCAGTGCCCATAGTTTACAGTGTCTATGCCTGCAGGTTATAATCCAGAGATCCTGGGAGACCACCTCTCTGAGTAGCCCAGCTCTGTTCTGGTGCCCAATCCTGATGAATCATCTGTGACTAGGGGAGAAATCTCACTGTGGGAATGTGGCAGCTCTCAGTACCGACATGTGGGTGGAGGAGGACACATTTCAGGAAGGCCTTGAATCGTAGAAGAGGGTTGGCTCTGACAGGCCTCCAAAGGCCTCCCTCCACTCTAGTCCAGGGACACCCGAGGTGTCCTGCTGATCACCTTCCTGTTCCTTCTTCTAGCTGGAAGACTTACCTCCCCGGCTGGCCTCACTGCCTGAGTGAGGATACCGTGAAACAGCTCGACATCAACATCAAATACTCCTTAACTAAGAACACCAACTTCTACCTGAAAGGCGGCTCTGCGTGAGGACCCTCTGTCCTGTCTCTGGGCCTCAGATGACCCAGGACCCCTGCCTTCTTCAGGGATGTGGGTCACACAGTCCTACTCAAGACATGGCCTCTGCCCACCACCCATTCTCATGGGGAATGGCTACCTCGAAGCCATTGACAACCTCAGGCCCTAGAGGCCAGTTAAAGATCCCAGGGGGATAAGGCTAGCCAGTGGGGGAGAGTCTCCCAGAGCTTGTCTCCTCCTCACATTTCCCGTCCTCTGGCAGTTTTGCAGAGCTGAAAATTAAGGGGCTGCTGGACCGCAAGGGGCCCTGGAAGAGTCTGAAGGAGATGAGAAGGGTGTTCAACTTCCGGAAGACCCCAGCTGCCGGTGAGCTTGGTCCATGGCTCCTGATCTGTTCACTGGGGCTCTGCTCTCATGCTATCAGGAGTCCCAGAAAACCAGGCACCAATTCATTATGTGACCTTCTCCTATCCCTCTCTAGACCTTATTTTCTCCATAGATAGAGAAGAGGTTATTGGCGGGGACATCCCTGAGCTTTAACCAGTTGAAGGAGGCTCTCATTCTTTGGGGTACCAGGCAATGGGAGGGCCCTGGGCTGGAGGAGGCACCCACATTCAGTCTCAGGGCTTTTGTTTGAGTCACAGGGCTGCAGATGGCAGGTAGATGCTGGAACGAACAGCCTGAGGACAAGACTAGCTGTTTGGTGAATGGGCAGGGACTGAAGCCAAAGGGTGAGGAAAGGTCACTCTAGAAAGTTCCAGAGTGAGAAGAGAAGGGAGATCAGGATGGACCCAGGAGGAACCCCGCCATGGAGCTCAGGGGGAGATCTCTTGGGGTTGGTATGAGTCGGGTCCGTCTTCCCCACGCCCCTGCAGAGTACGTGTTTGAGCACTGGCAGGAGGACACCTTCTTTGCCTCCCAGTTCCTGAATGGCCTCAACCCGGTCCTGATCCGCCGCTGTCGCTGCCTTCCAAAGAACTTCCCTGTCACGGACGCCATGGTGGCCCCGGTGCTGGGCCCCGGGACGTGCCTGCAGGCTGAGCTGGAGGTGAGGGGTCGAGGTCTTGGCCCTGCACACCCCCGTCAATGCCCTCTTTTGGAGAGGGGCAGCACTCACATTTGTTGAACACCTACTGTGTGCCATATGCCAAGAATACCCTCTCCTGTGCACACTTCTCTTCCAGCCCTGAATCCTCTCCTTTCGCACCCCTGCCCCCTACCTCCAAGTCCTTAAAAACCAGATGGTAGCCTCAACTCTCCTCTCTCCCTCAGAGGGGCTCCCTGTACCTGGTGGATCATGGCATCCTCTCCGGCATCCGTTCCAACGTTGTTAATGGGAGGCCTCAGTTCTCTGCCTCCCCAATGACCTTGCTATATCAGCGCCCAGGGTGTGGGCCCCTGCTGCCCCTCGCCATCCAGGTCAGCAGCTGGGCAGGGGGCAAGGTAGGGAGAGAGGGGAGGGCTTTCACCAAGTGGTTGGTAAACACTCCTGGCCTCCTTGCCCCTCCTACAGCTCAACTGGAACCCTGGGCCGGACAGCCCCATCTTCCTGCCCAGTGACAGCCAGTGGGACTGGCTGCTGGCCAAGACCTGGGTTTGCAATGCCGAGTTCTCCGTCCATGAGGCCGTCACACATCTACTGCATGAGCACCTGCTGCCTGAGGTCTTCACCCTGGCTACACTGCGCCAGCTGCCCCACTGCCACCCACTCTTCAAGGTCCGTGGGCCAGCCAGGCAGCCTCGGCTGTACCCCAGGCTCACAGGTCACTGTGTCTTGGCCTGCTGCACACAGACTCTTCTAAGCCCTCCATGGCCCCATTCTTCCAGGCCGGGGTACACCGCTGTCTGGGGAACTTGCTTTCTTGGGCTGGGGTGAGGTCAATGGCAACTGGGACAAGGGTGGGGGCTTCCTTCTTAGGACAAATCAGACCAACAGCCAGCAGTCGTCAGAGAAACCCAACTTCTAGAAAAGAAGAGGCCTGGGGGTGGCAGAGGCCAAAGTGTGAACAATGCTTTGAGGGGCCAGTTTTCTACAGAGAGTTGCAGGGGGCAGGGAGCCTGGGAGGGAGACCTGTGTCCCAAAGGCAGGCTCTGGGGGTATCCTGGGCTCTGGTAATCCTCCGGATGACCCAGATTTACTTCCCCCAGGGACCTGAGACATTTCTTCTTCTGTGAAGGGCAGGATTCCCCCATGTGGGGCCCAAGAATACTCAGTCTCTGTTGTTGCTTAGTCTCCTGGGTCCTGAGTGCAGGTCCTACTGTGCCTGTTCTTTCTGACCAGGACCTGACACTCAGAGATGGGCTCTGGAGGACGGCCCTGTATTGTCAGGCCCACAGACCATGGCTTTCATGGTACTGTGCCAGCCCAGGGACGAGGAAATCACAATGCCAGAGCTGGAGGGCTCCCAGTGCCTACAGGTGCCCAGAGAAAGGAAGTCACCTACCTGTTGCCATAGAACAAGATGCTGGTGGTGCCCAGACCCTGCCCCTGGGCCTGGAACTCTGCTCCCTGTTCCAGGCTTTTCCTCTCATCCCTGTCATCTCTTTCCATGAGTGACTTACAGCATTCAATGCCTCTGCGAGGAAGGTCTGTGGCCAGAGAGCCCAGGTCTCACCTGGTTCTGCCCCCTTTGTCTGTCTAGCTGCTGATCCCTCACACACGGTACACGCTGCATATCAACACGCTCGCCCGCCAGCTGCTCATCGCCCCCGGGCAGGTGGTAGACAGGGTAAGAATTGCCTCAGGGTGCACAGGGAGCGGGTCCTCCAGTGAAGAATCTGGGTCCTGGAGTGGGGATGGCCCTGCTCCCCACCAGTCTTACACCTGCTTCTGGAGCAAGGGCTCTGGCACCCAGGAGTCCCACCTCCCAGTCCACAGGCCTTGGCATTGGAGGCTTTTCTGAGCTAATACAGAGGAACATGGAACAACTGACCTATTCCAGCCTGTGTCTTCCTGAGGATATTCGGGCCCGGGGAGTTGAAGACATACCAGGCTACTACTACCGGGATGATGGCATGAAGATCTGGGGTGCTGTGGAGTGGTGAGGGGCCACTTCCAGGGAACAGGAGGCTTGTGGGGGAGGCTAGAAGACTGGGAAGGAGAGGGAGGGCCCAAGGAGGCTAACAACAAGGGTTAGATGTTAAAGACACCACGTCGGAGCATGCCTCAGAGAGCATGTGAAGGCTAAACCTGGTACACTTCGCAGCTTTGTCTCCGAAATAATCAACATCTACTATCCAAGTGACGAGTCTGTCTGCAATGACAGCGAACTCCAGGCGTGGGTGTGGGAGATCTTCTCTGAGGGCTTCCTAAGCCGGGAGAACTCAGGTAGGTGGTCTCTCAGCACTTGGGCACTACCCTCAGCCTCTGCACCATGGTCCTCAGGTTCCTGGTAGCCCTGGCCCCAGCCCGACTCCCCCTATAGGTTTGCCCTCCTCGCTGGAGACCCGGAAAGCGCTGGTGCAGTATGTCACCATGGTGATTTTCAACTGCTCAGCCAAGCACTCTGCTGTCAGTGCAGGGCAGGTGAGAGGGTCAGTACCAGGGGTGGCAGGATGGAGGGTCTGTGGTCCTAGGTCTCACTCTGCCCTCTGGCCTTCAGTTTGATTCTTGTGCCTGGATGCCCAACTTGCCACCAACCATGCAGCTGCCACCACCCATCTCCAAAGGCCAGGCAAGTCCAGAGGGCTTCATAGCCACCCTTCCGCCGGTCAATGCCACATGTGATGTCGTCATTGCCCTTTGGTTGCTGAGCAAGGAGCCTGGAGAACGAGTGAGTGTGGGCCTTGCTGGGAGCCAGGCCAGCTCCAGGTTAAGGGATGAGGTGCTGTTCCCTGGCCCAGCCCCAATCTGCCATCAAGGAGCTGTATCCCCCCAGACCCTCCACCCCCCACACACACACACATAGTATCTTCACTATTTAGAGGGAAGAATCATGGGTTAGGCTCAATGGAAGGTTGTTTCAGGACCCTTGGGGTTGTGAGCTAAGGGGGTCTCAGTGTCTCAGCAGCCCCTCCCCCTGCGTTATGGTTGCTCCCCAGAGGCCCCTGGGCACCTACCCAGATGAGCACTTCACGGAGGAGGCCCCTCGGAGAAGCATCGCTGCCTTCCAGAGCCGCCTGGCCCAGATCTCACGAGACATCCAAGTGCGGAACCAGGGCCTGGCGCTGCCCTACATCTACCTGGACCCCCCCCTCATCGAGAACAGCGTCTCCATCTAAGTCCCCAGGAGAGCTGGACCCCAGGTGGCATCACTTTGACCCCAGTGCTTTATGCTAACCACCACCCCAAAAGGACTCAGAAGATCAGGCCCTCCTGAGTCTCTCCTGGGACAATCAGGTCCCATGTAACTCACCTCCCACATAGAACAAAACAAAAACAGAAACAAAAACCCTTTTCAAAATAACCTTTGAAGACTGCAAGCCTCCAAGTACCGCAGACCCACAGCCCGCTTGGAGGTTTGTGGCTGCTGTTTTGCATTTTGCATTACCACACGGTGTGGGGACGTCTGAGTGGGGACATCTGACGCTACCCCTAGCCTTCACCTTTGTACCACAGGGGGTTGGACCTAATGTAACCCCACACAAGGGCAGCCCCTGTGGACTGCGTGGGAGCCTAACCACTTCCCCAGAGGGTGGTCGTGACTTATGGTCCTAACTTTTAAGTGAACAACCCACTGAGAGGGTTACTGGATGCAGGGCAAAGAAGGGCAGACTGCCCGGGGCATGTAAGCAATGCCCACTTACACGTTCTTGAAAAGTGGCTCCAAAAATGGGAAAAGATCTGCATGCTATCAAGCAGGTTTCTACAGAGCTAGAAAATATTATCCTACTAGTCATCACCTCTAAATGTGACCCTCAGTGGTGGAATTCCAGTTTCACATACACATTCTCCAAATTCCTCTGCTTCCCATCTGTATTTTACTGTGGGTATCAGTGCTTTCATTTCATTATGTTTTATAAAACAACGTGGACAGAAATGCAATACATATACCGTAACTGCACAAATACAACCATGGATAAAATGAACAACATTTCAGAAAGTGCGTGTAGACCAACGATTTCCTTCTTTATTGAGATTTAGAGATATATAGCTATTAAACACCAGAAAAGACTTCCTTACTAACGCAAGTTATAAAAGAGATTGCGGGAAAGACACTGAGTATTTCGAGGGCTTACCTGTTGAACAGTCCTCAGAAACCTAGGGTACCCCAGGCACAAGAATCGCTGGACCTTGTCCTTAGGCACTGCCATCAGAATGATGAAGCTCCTAGCAGTTTTTTGAATTATTTGCCTCAGTATTCAAGAGAATGTGTTTGACTTAATTTGGCATGGCAGAAACTTTTGGCTGCTGTAGCAGAAAACTTCGGCTCATCAAATACTTCTGGAACTTTCCAACATTCCCCAGTCTGCCTTTCAGTTAATCAGAGCCCTATGACCATCTGGCCAGTGGGTGTGAGAGGAAGTGGCGGATGTCACAGTTAGGAGCGGGTGGGCCTCCTTTACCCTGCTTGTGCCCGCAGGCTCCTTGGGAGGCCTGAGCCCTGTCCTTTCCTTTACACTAGAGCAGAGAATGAATAAGCTTACAGGGACCATGGGCTCATAACTGCCCCCCAGCGTCTGGTGCTCTGCAGGTGGTCGGAAAGCAGGTGTTGAATGGAGGATTAATACACAAGTGATTCCCAAAATCCTCTGTGCCCTTTTTCATTTTCCTGTGCGTTTCCCTAACTAGACCAATGAGAATTTTTTTAAGATTTAGTTTATTTATTTATGCATATAAAAACTGAGGTGTAATCCAGCGATGCGGGGGCTGGGGGTGGTGAGAGGAGTCACCAGAGACAGAGTGGGGAGCAGAACAGGCAGATCTAGTGAAATACACTGCTGAGGGGAGCAGCAGGGCAGACAGGAGAGGTCTGCTGTGCCATGGGGGTCAGCTCCCTGGCCAGAGGATCAGGACTGAACTCATACTGCAATGGCTGTGATAGCTTCTAGCTTCGTAGCACTGAGACTAACCCCTGCACCACCAGGGAGGCCCACAAATGAGATTCTTAAAGACAAGATGTGGGTCTCACTTGACTTTATATGTCTGCTGCCCAGCACTGTGCAGAAACATAAGAGATACCCAACAACAGTTTACCAAAGGATGAATGAAAGGAAGACTTATCATATGTAAGCATGTGTATGTATGTGTGAACTAGGGACTTGGGAGGCAGCTGTGCAGAATCTGGTATTTTCTCTGATGTATGTCTTTGGTGTTAACTTACACCTCCTGGGGAAACTGGTGAACCCAAGGAAGCTCACAGCAGAAGCTCAGTTCAAGCAGTCAGTCCCCAACCTTACTGGAGAAGCCACCACCCCCTCCGCAGCCCAAGCTCTGTAAGCTCCTCCTCTCCCTCATTTCCTCTCTCTCTCCCATCTCCCTCAACTGCCCCCAACTGTCCTTAATCTATTCTCTGGCCAGTCATAAGAAGAGAAAGTTGTTACGGGAAACATTCACCTCCAGGGGTTATTCAGGTAACCCTTGGGAGTCGTGGGGGCTTCCTAATTCACAGCGAAGCATTGGGCATCCAAGCCCCAGAGTGGGGCTGTGTTTGGGGTGGCCATCGAGAGAATGTGACTGCCAGTTGACCTACAAGCTAGACCAGGCATTTGGAGGCTCTGTACCCTTTCCCTTAGAATATGCATTCAATTTGCTTCCCCACACCCACAAGATGTCCCAAGGATACAACCCTGAGATGGCAATGTGATAGTGAGGTTACATGAATGGTAGATTTGGCTGAATAAAGTTAAGGTTTTTATATACACTTTTAAGACTTGGCATATAACTGCAGAGATCTACTCATCTCATGGTTGACTGAGACAAGCCTCATGGTCAGTTGCCCTGTTTAATAAAAATGCCAGCCAGCAACAGCAATCTGAAGTCATCTGCCCTGGGGGAGAGGTGTTAGATTTTATCAGAAACTTCTGAAAAGGTTGTGACTCAACATAGGAGACCTCTGCCCCAGTTGAGCCAGATGGCCAAAGCAGGAGGGCTAGCTCCTTCTTCAGCACCTAGGAGCTCTGCCTCCACCACCCAGGTCTTTCAGTTAGGGAATGAGGGATTTGTGGAAAGAAGAAAGAGAAAGAATATGGGAAGGAAGTCCCAGAAGGAGCAGGAGCTCAGCTTACCCCTGAATCTCCCTACCCAGTGTTCCAGGGCAGAATGAAATGAGTCACTAGAGAACAAGGAGAACACAGGTTTGTGTATGCCAAAGGGGTGGAAACAGATACAAGACTCTGAAATTATGCAGAGTCAGGGGTTAGCAGAAATAAAAATTCAAGCAGGTAACCAGTAGGAGCAACTATTTGCAAAAAATGGTAAATATGCAAAATATTTAAAGAACTCCTATAAATTAGTAACCCAGCAGAAAAGAAGGCAAAGAATATAATAGGAAATTCACAAATGCAGTTCAAAAGTAAACCTTAGTGTCTAACGAACATGTGAAAAGATATTTAACATCTGTTGAGGATGTAGAGAAAGAGAAACACTGGTACAGCCATTTTGGAAATTGGTATGGACCTTTCCTAAAAATATAAAAATAGAAATAGCATAAGGTCCAGCAATCCCACTTCTGGATATCAAGCTGAAGAATACAAAACCATCAGCTTGAAAAAAATTCTCTCCATCATGTTTATTACAGCATTATTTACAATTGCTAAGATATTGAAGCAACCTAAATGCTCACCAATAGGTGACTGGATAAAGAAGATTTGCTATATATGCATAATGGAAGTGAAGACAGAATTTTGCTACTTGTAGGAAAATGAAGGAATTTGAGGGTAGTAAGCACAGCGAAGGCAGCCAGAAAGATAAAGACAAGTGTTGGATGATTTTACATATATGGATAATATAAAGAAACAAAGCAAATGAACTAGGAAAGCAAAATAAAAATAAACATTGATACCAAAATTGAGGTACCAGGGGTAAAGAGTATGGGGGTGAGAAAAGATGAAGAGGGTATAAGGGGTGGTGGCAGGTATTTTATTTATGCTTTTTCATGTTGTTTTTATTCTTCAAAATATGTGTATTGGGGGAAGATAATAATCTTATTGGATATTAGGGAGGTTGTCAAGTGTATGAAGCAGTAGCAGTGTATCTTGGAGAACAATTTAGAGGTCCCAAAAAAACTTTTCAAAAAACTACAAATGTAAAAATGTTTTAAATGAAACCTTAAAAAAATATCGCATCACCCAACTTATTTCATTACATTTTAATGCTGTAAACGACTCCCTCAGGATGATTTAGCTTGCTGCAGACAAAAATGCTTATGCTTCTTTACTCGTGTAGAACATAAATGATGGTTGAGAAACTCAACCCCAGCATTTAGGATTTAAAAAATATATATATCGCATCACCTTACACAATTGTCTACCTCCCTGCCCCAGGGCACTGTGAAGTCAAATGCATGCTGCTGGCTGACCAGGTCCAGAGCTGGAAGGGGGAGGTAGTGACCATGGAAACATGGTGATGGGCCCTCTCAAGGCCTCCTGCATGACTGGACAGCCCCCAAGATCCAGGACAGATTCCCCAACCTGCAACACCTGGGCCGCTCCCTCAGACTCTGGGAAGGACCAGCTGGGGGACAGGGCATGGCGGCCTCAGCTACAAATATGCCACCCTCATCCACCAACTACAGGACAAGCTAAGAGGACCATGTGGAAAACACTGTCTGGCTCCTCAAGCCCCTTGAGACCCTGCTGCCCCCAGCCAGGGGCCAGGCGTCCATTGTGGGTCATCTTCTTCACCCACAATAACCTGCTAGGCTTGCTGCTAATTCACCAGGTCCTGGCTACCCCCTGATGGGGGGTGGGGAGGGTCTCACTAGCCCTGCTCTATGCCTATGGGTTGGTGGCCTCCCTGGAGCCAAGGAAGCTCCCATCAACCCCCTCAGGAAACAGTGAGGCTGGTGGCTCCTCAGCAGGAGAAGGGGGAGGGACTGGCCCCCTGCTTCCTTCTTTCCCCAGGGCCAATAGAAGTTCCAAAACTGTGAAATGTTTTTTTTTTTTTAATTTAAAAAGTTTAACCTAGCAAACCACTCCTATTGAAAATTCCTGTATTTACACAAAAAGATGTTTACATGATATTCTGTGACTATTATAATAGAAAAAAATTTTAAGCTTAAATACCCATCAGGGAGGAAATGTTAAATTAGGAAATAGTCCTACTGTAAAAAAAATATTGTAGTTGTTAATAAAGTCATTTTATAAATACTGACATGGAAAAATATCCATGGTGTATTGCTAACTAGCTAAAACAAGTCACACAGTGATTAGTGTGGTATGATTCTTTTAATAGTTAAAAAAAAAAGAGGTAAGTATGTAAATCAATACAAATGTGAAAGAAAAAAGATCTGGAAGGATACATAACCACCTGTTTGAGAAAGGGA